CCCTAATTCAAGACTTCTAGATAAGTCACTGATCAATTTATTTCTGTATTTAATGTGACACTTTCAGTAACGTAGCACTGACTTCAGCATTGGTTCAACTTACAAAAAAAAAAGAAGAAAAAAAAAGAAATCCATCTAGAATTAAAATAAAATCAAATTAACAGTAGCCCTAAGTAGAAGTTATATAACTTAAATATACAAAAACCTGAGGATCCACTAATTAGTCTTAAATAAAACAAAAAAGACAGTAACTCCGAAAAGAGACAGAGACATTTTACAAAGACCTAGTTTAAATTACCGGCAAGAATTATTCGGCAAGTAGAGTCTTGAAGTAAACTGAGATAAAAATTCAAACTTTTTATAAAACAGTAAATCAAGTGACCGACATTACAATATGAGAGTATCATAATGATAAATTATATTTTGATGCCACAGTTTACGAATATTTGTTACATAATATGCAAACGTTAGTTATCAACCTGGTTTAAATTACCGGCAAGAATTATTCGGCAAGTAGCGTCTTGGAGTAAACTTTGATAAAAATTCGAACTTTTTATAAAACAGTAAATCAAGTGAACGACATTACAATACGAGAGAGTAGCAAAATGATAAAATATTGATTGATGCCACAGTTTATGAACGTTTGTTACATAATATGCAAACGTTAGGCAGAAATGATTTTGGAGGATGCGTTTATCAATTTGTTTGCGTACTTTAGTAAAAACGACTAGGCCCACAATATAAAACCCATTAATTTGATATACAACGATGTGTTTTGAACTTATTAGTATATGCCTCTATGGTAATACTGGAAGTAGGCCTCTTTTATAGGTATATAACTGACCAATCATGGCTAGGAAAACGTGCTTAACTCACAAAACACACGTGTTGTTTCACAAATCACAAAAGCATGTTTGAAAGTACTGACGCTGTTGGTTTGTGGTACCTTCGCAACAACATCTATAGGGCAGCGCTTGGCAAAAAGTCCATCCCCATGATTTGGGGGGGGGGGGGGGGAGGGGGCTGGCAGTACTGTACTACGTATATAATCAGGTTTTCACACACATAAGAACATCCTTTTACATGGACTACAATTTGTTGTTATATAATATTTTTTTTTTTTTTACTTCAGCCTTAATTGGTTTTATCACACCATATTTAATGTTGTATTTGTTGTTTCTATTTATCTTTAGTACATGCTCTTTTCTGTTGATTTATAGTGCAGAGTTCTTGTAAAAAAAAATCACAAAACTACAACATGCAATTATAACATTATTATTATTTATTGTATTGTAAGGCTTATATCAACCTAAAATTATAAACATCAACAGGATGAAAACAAAATCATTATCAAGACACGAATAACAGAGGAAATGCAAAAAAAAGTCCCAGACACCAATTGTTCTACATATTTGAAGGATACTAATCTAAATAAATTAAAAAGTAACATCATAATTTAATTGGTGAGTCATAGTGCATTGCACATTACAAAATTAACATAAAAACGGTTCATAAAGAAGCCAATACAATCTTCTAAATTTACATAATCTGCATAATGATAAGTCATTGTCTATGCAAGTTGCCAACCCCTATTCAGAGGGACAACCTATATCCATGTGGCCCAACCCCTATTCCAGGTGTCCAACTTCTATCCAGGTGGCCATGACATCTGTCTTCCACCCATCACATGGACATGTAGGTGGTACACTGACTGAGAACCATCCTTTCCATCATTTATCACTACAAAAACAAATTGTATATTTATACAAACAAAATATATCAATCAATTTTGTTTGTGACTGATCCATCTATTGAGTTTGATTGTTGTTGCTGTTATTGCCATTTCAGCCATTTTTATTATTAATAATATTATAATTAATCTTAGTTAAAAGTCATTTATTACTGTATACGTATATATAATATCAGTCTGTCATGTGCTTTAATACTAAGTTGATGATGTAAGCTGATTGTTTATTTCTATTTTGAAATTACAGCAGTTATATTTTTGAATCTTATTTGTTATGATTTGATATGGACACTGTCTGAAATAAGAGGAATTGACTGGCCAAATTTACTCTTAATTTAATGTAATACTGAGCACCAAATACTGTATATACCACTTAGGTAGTAAGAAAGGGGACCCTCATTTTAAAACATCATCCCCATCACCACATTTTTGAAGATTCAAGATTCAAAATAACTTTATTGCAAACTTTGAAATGTACAGAATAATTAATAATAATATACAAATATATATGAAACATTTAAAATACTCAATAGTAAAACTCTTCTCAACATTAAAGTACAATTACAAAAAATAATTATAAAAAAAAAAATCATTATTATCATATCTGAATATGATCATCTCTGATTATCATCCTCACCACATCATAAACCTTATCTTCATCACCATCAGCAGCACCTTAATACCATCGTCAACATCATCTTATCCAACACCACTGACATCTCATTTGAATATAATTGAAAATATTAAACAGATGATAAATCACGAACCTACTCTATACCCTTCCTGTAGACCTTCTGCTTCAGCTGTTTTCCTTGCTATTGTTAAAAGATGGCCTAGAAGCTGAATGAGAAACACACAAAAAATATTTATTTATCTTATTTCAACTTTATTTAAAGAGGGTGACCCTTCTAGCTGAACCCAAGGCCAGGTGATATTCAAGGGCCCTCTATAAAATGATGGTCTTACGTTTTATACCTCCTTGGTCTAATGAGATAAAATACAGTAGAGTAAAACAGAATGAAATAATATACAGTACAATGTGGATAAAATAGAGATAAATGATGTTACAGTTACGTTGTATTGTACTTTGTATGCATTAACTTTCTTTCACAGATCGTGTTTATATGATTTTGATATCACAGTAGAAGCAATTGGGACTAATTATATTCAAGTAGTTTCTATTTGGATTGAAGTGTAATTAAGGATTCTTACATAACTTTGTTACAGGGGATGAAGGCTTAATTAAACAATATATATATAGCACAGACATTGAGTAATTATTGCATAATACAGACTATCTGAATAAAAGGTTATTTTTACCTGGTTTTTAATAAAGGTCGGACAGATCGAAGTGTTTTTAAAGCTTACATAATTTGAATTATTTCTGTTACATAATAACTACTCATCATTTCTTAAACTAAAGTTTGGTTTGAATTTTCTTAAATAATAAGTATTTTACTAATGGTCTTTGCCCCTGATGACGTCATCATAAACCAATTGTTAGTCCGATTGCGCACGTTTTACAATGTGATAATGTACATTTTTTTGTATTTAAGTTTGTTTTTTTTATTTATTGCTCTTTCTGTACAAAAATCAAATAACCAACCAGAAACAAAGGAAAAAAAACAAAAACATTACCATTACATAATACATAATAATCAATTACATCAAGAGAAAAAAAGGCTAGGCAAGGAAGGAAAAAAAAAACATCAAAACTTTCAATAAAATCAGAAACAACAGACGATTACAGGGACAAGCAGGCAACACATAACATACAAAGGTAACAGAAAACCAAAAATAAAAAAAACAGAAAAAACAAGGACTAGAGGACAGAACATCAAAACGAAACCAAAAAGAAAGAAAAAGCAAAAGGGAAGGAGAGCAAAGCATACCCTCTGAACCCGAAGGTTTGTTTGCTGAGGTCCCATTGAAACTAAAGAAAAAATAAAAACAAGAATGAGTTCACAGCAGACAGGAAAAGAGCAACCTGAAAAAGAAAAAAAAACAAATTAATAAAAGAAAAAAAAAATTAAATAAGCTTAACTTACTCAACTTAACTTACTTAAACTAATTCTTTTTGGATTTTCAGAGTTTTATTTAATTTTATTTATTTATTTTATTTAAATAGTTTTGACATGGCTTTTAAAGGTAGACCAAACATCCAGAGCTTTAATATCAGTTGGCATGCTGTTCCAGAGAATAATACTATTTAATTAATTACAGTTATAATAATATTGATTAATTATAGTTTGATCTTTTCTTCCATTTCTGGTATAATAATCACTATATTAAATGCATTAAACCTAACCAGAACTACAAACTACCAACGCAAGTGTTGTCGTATTGAGCACACATGTTTACGTTGACGAACGAGACATCGTGAGTACTCTTTTCCACGAATCGGTAGATATCTTAAAGTGATGACAAACAACCGAAGTCAGTGGTGCATAACCAACATTAATTTCACATTTTAATTTACCTGTGTATCACTGTCGTCTGCTTGACTAAGTCTTGGAATCACTATTCTTGGTATAACTAGAAAGTGGACTGGTGCAACTGGGTTGACATCTCGAAAAGCAATACACTTTTACATAAAAAAGAACAAGAGAAACACTTATGCTACAAGTAATGCTTTGGTTCTTTTCACACTTGAAATGCAAAAGATCAATCAAAAGATTCATAGTAAGTTTGATCTTTTCTTCCATTTCTGGTATAATAATCACTATATTAAATGTATTAAACCTAACCAGAACTACAAACTACCAACGCAAGTGTTGTCGTATTGAGCACACATGTTTACGTTGACGAACGAGAGTGTTGGGGTCAGCAACTTACTGACATCATGAGTACTCTTTTCCACGAATCGGTAGATATCTTAAAGTGATGACAAACAACCGAAGTCAGTGGTGCATAACCAACAGAAATAAGATAAGCTTTGAGGCTAAATTTTTGTCCTCATGTTACCTAAAAATTCATAACTCTATAACGGAGGGTCGTATCGCATTAATTTTTTCTGGAGAATGTTCTCAAACACCACTAGTACACACACACAAAATGCGTTACAGCACAGTAGCTTAGTACTTCCGTATTATTACTGTTCCAGGTACTGATAATATACAGATTTCTCTTATGATAAAGTACAAGTATGTTTTAGAAAAAAGTACAGTACTGATGGTATTTAATGAACTTCGTTTTGTTTTTGTACAATGTGTTTCATAAATTTATTTCCAAATAAGTTTTTTTAATGTATTTGAGTTTAATAGCATCAAATGTACCCATGCTTAATGATTTAGTAGCATTTATGCCTGTACTCCATGTGTTTAGTAGCATAAAAAATTCCCAAACTTCATGCATTTAGTAGCATCTCATAGGCCTGTACTTCATGTAATGTGCTTAGTAGCATATAATGTACCCAAACTTTGTGCATTTTGTAGCAACTCATATACCTGTACTCCAAGTGTTTAGTAGCATCAAATAATGTGCCCAAACTTCATGCATTTCATAGCATCTCATATGACTGTACTTTATGTGTTTAGTAGCACTTAATGTGCCCATGCTTCATGCATTTAGTAGCATCTCAGTGCCTGTACATCTTGTGTTTAATAGCATTTAATGTACCCATTTAATGAGTTTTGTTGCATCTAATATTCTGAGCTTCAAGTGTTTAGTCGCATAAAATTTCACATTTTAATTCACCTGTGTATCACTGTCGTCTGCTTGACTAAGTCTTGGAATCACTATTCTTGGTATAACTAGAAAGTGGACTGGTGCAACTGGGTTGACATCTCGAAAAGCAATACACTTTTACATAAAAAAGAACAAGAGAAACACTTATGCTACAAGTAATGCTTTGGTTCTTTTCACACTTGAAATGCAAAAGATCAATCAAAAGATTCATAGTACATAGTAAAGCTTTATCCACACTGTTTTATATGTGACAAATATATGTGATATGCCCATATTTGGATGTAATATGACATCATCATACCCATATATATGGGAACACCACACAAATGTTTCACATAAAATGACAGAGCTTAACATAAAGACAATCAAAAATTCATATTTTCAATAATAATAATAATAATAATGATAAGTAATAATAATTTAATCTGTGAGACAAAATATAATATTAATATTATTAATAATATAAAGTACGATTCAAGGTATTTACTTGTACAGTATTTAAAATCTCAATGAGATTTTAAATACTATATAAAAATACTTTATCAAAAGTATTAAATGATAATTTATGTTGAACTTTCCTCCTCCTGCCTTTTCCCTTTCCAAATAAAAATAAATGATTTATACTGTATAAAAATATGTTTATATTTCTCTACCCTGTCATCCTCATAGATAATGTCGGCAGGGATGGTTTTATCCAAAATCTTGCTGAAGATGGTCGGCTCTGGCTGAGCATACTTGAAACGAGCAGCTGCTGCAGTTGCCTTTTCTACCTCATCACTGCTGTTGGAGAATGCTTGCGCATGTACCTGCTAAACAGTTCAAAGCCAATCAAATATATATGAGGTGTTAGGAGTTTCACTGGTGTGGTGTATATTACACAGTATTTTTTATAACTGTACTGTTAAGCAGTGTACTATATTCAGTATATATTTTTATTACTTCCCAGTTTTGTTTCATACAGGCTTGATAATCTAACCATTGCTGCTCAAAAATAGATCAATAAATCTGCACAATTTGCAAGCATTATACAAATATTCAAATGTAATAATTTGCAAAAACTGCATGGCATCTGCTATGAAATTGAATGTCAAAAAATATATTTTGAGAACTTGCAAATTATGTCACCTGAACAACAATTGGAAAATTGTTTCAGTCAAATAAATTTGCATGCTACTGACTACAGTTGCAGTCAGTAAAGCTTTGTTAAAATAAGTTTATACGGCCTGTATTCACATTTTAATGACAATTTCACATCACTTTTATTAATTTTAGGGTATAATCGGCACATAAATTTTGTCTTTTATAAAATTTTGATGATGTGTGAGGTAATACAACGTAGTTGCAAGATGTAAAAAATGGATGCTCATGCGTGAGACTCACGCATTATGTGTGGAAGTTGGCAGGTGTATGATTAAAAAATTAAGTTTAATGTAATTATATAACAAATTAAAAACATCAACATAAAAATAAGGCAGTGGCTACTATTATATTACAGGTAAATGAATGACAATTTAAGTACTCTTCTATTTAGTACTGTACTAAAAATAAAACAGATATTTGCAATATGGTTAAATAATTTGGTTGTATTGTCAATTGTTTAGGGTCGGCGGCTATCCGTTACCTTAAGGACTTTACACACACAGACAAAACTGATCCATTTTATTTATAAAACTAGGCAAAACCAAACCATTATCGCCATTTCATTTGAATGAGAGAACATCAGTCCCGGGCTAGCCTCAGTAGTAGTAGCCTGTAGAGTAGTAGTACGGGGGCTAGCCTAAACCAGCTAAATTGACTTTTAAAGTACCTACACTATGAAACTTCAATTATACCCACCAACCCAATGAGTGGATTAAATGTAACTGATGCCACTAGTGGAACAAATACATTCCGGACATTAAAAACACGTGAAACAAAATTCACATTCCGAATCATGTCTGACCGAAAGTTCACGACATTCCATGCAATTCAAAACAAATGCCGCCCTCTACTGGTGAGATTAATTTAATTTGTCTACTGGTGGTGTACACTGTGTACTGTGTATCGGATCGAAGTGTGGGAACCCAGCAAAGACAGGAGGAGAAAAATGTCATCCTATAATATTTATGGTTCTAATAGCAGTAGTCAGGGAAATGGAAGTGTCGGTGTCTCTAGTCGAAGTTCATTAACTGGTGAACGTGATTCGTATTCATCACGCATTCGCAGTAGAGACATAGACAATGGAACCTATGAAGATTCAACAAGGTAGGCCTATTAAAAGTTCAGTGATGCACCCTTTACATTGTTGTAGATTACTGTATACTACCACTAGAACTCCGTTGTCTTAGGTTGCTTGCCCATGCTGATGACTTAGCGGTACCCTTTCGTGTTTGTGGTGAGACTGTTTACGCCAAAATTCCTTAAATTAGCTCCCCTCATTGATTTATTTATGTACCTGTGTTTTTATATGTGATGTGGTATAACATTATATGAAATTTGATGTATTACTTTAGTCTATTTGATAGGTCATTTACAACCAGTTGTCATTGTTTTGTCTTAGCCTGGTAGAAAGAAGTTCAACATTATAAAGATGATATTGATTGTGGACATAGGATTTTGTTGGCATAGAAACAAGTTATGAAATTATAGTGCCTATAAAATATAATAAATTGTATAACTCAAAGAAAACATGGTGGGGATAATTTTTTTTGTGCTTTTGTATTTTAAATTATCTTAATCAAGTAAAAAATATATTAAAGAAAATATTCTAATCTAATAAAAAAAATATAATTCAATATTTGAATTGGTTTCCTTGTAATTATTTTTGTTTCAATTGAAATTAAAACAGGAATATAGTTGGGCATCGATAACAAATGCAGAAATAATGTGCCCTAAACTGGCTGCCTTTGAATTTAAGAATTATTCCTGAAATTTAGAAATTAATTATTTTGAGTGTTCTAAATATTTTCTACTCAGGAATAGTAAAATAATTTTAAATGATGTAGAAGAAGGAATTCATTACTTGTAAAAATATATTTTTTTAAATGATAGCATTAACAATACTTGCAATAAATAACAATTTCAAACCATTTCTACAGTACTTTAAAACTTATTGACCATGGTTAAAACACTACTAATTTTATATATATCTGGGTATATTGAAATTGACATTTGATCTTAACATTTTACACATTATGTTATAGACCAATTGTTTAACCACACCACAGTATCCTATTTATAGGATATGAGTTTGATTTAAAGGGTGATAAGGAAATACTTATCCATAAATAAAATAAACATTTCCTATGTATAAATGCAGTTATTGCTATCATTTGGTAACTTGTTTTTCTCTCTTGTCATTGCTCATTTTTGCCCTTATGTTTTTATTTTTAAAGTGACCATTTTTGTTTGTGTGTCATTTCCAGACTCATTATTATTTAAAACAATAAGGATAGCTCAGATCAGGTATCGGTATCATGTCTTTTAATAATAAAAAGGTGGTAAATAAAAATAGAAAGTGTTTTCCATTATTTTCATTTTCACCTAAACAAAATTATGTGTGTGGCAAAGACAAGCCAAACCAGTTGCTCGTCGCAAAAATCGATTTTTAATTATTAGTACAGGGCAAAGCATTTTAAAATGAGAGCTATAAAATGGTAAAAGAATCATTTAAATCTGACATTTTGTTATGAAGTTTTTACAGGTGTTCAAACAGCTGTTTAAGCTGCTTGAAGAACAATAGGCCTATTTGAGAAATCAGACTTCAGAGTTTGATTTTGGGTATTTCAGGCAGAAACCATCACCAAATCGTTAAAAATTTTAGTTTTAACATTGAAAATGGGGAAAATAACAGCATAGCAAGATATATAGATATATACAATTTACAGTAGGTTAGTGTAATAAAATAGATTTCCAAAACTCTGACATTGCAGCATATTTTGGCCATCTCTGAAACAGGATTTGTGACGAGTTACTCGTTTGGCTTGTCTTTCCCACATACAGGTTTCAAAACTGAGGAACTAGGAGTATGGCTGCAGTTTGCAAATTTAAAATTCAAAACCATGTATCTCATTTATTTGATCATTTTGAATTATAAATTCATTTTATTTTCAGTTTATTTGTATTTATTTTTTTCATGGTTTTTTGAATATTTTACCATCAAATAGGATTTTAAAGTTAAGTTAAATGAAAATATTTTGAAATATTAGATAATTACTAACAATAAAATTTGTTAATAAACTTAAAGTAAACTTTAAAAATTATTTTCTTTTTTTAATTAAGTAGTCGATTAAGTGGATCAAGAACAAGTCCGAGACACAGAAGAGGTGAAGAAAACTCTGAATCTAAAATAATGCAGAACTTACATATTGGGCAAGTTTCAGAGGAAGGGGCGAGTCCAGAAGTGGCTAGTGCTAGCCCCAAACAAAGGCTTAAGGACCGTAAAGGAGCTTCAGCATCCCCTAGGTCAAATAGATTTAAAAACAGAGGGATGCGAGAAAAGCGGAGAGGGACAGGAAAAGTTGTTGTAGAGGTATGTTACTGATTTTCAATATTAATTTGTATTTAAATTAATTTTAATTTGAATATTCAACTAGTATTAGGCCAAATAATATTAATTATTTGTATCACATCCAGGAATTTTGAAATTAATATTATGGTGAGGATATTTTATATATTTTATATTATGGTGAGGATATTTTCATGAGGCTCCAAAATGTGATGAGGAATTGGATGTAAAACTAGCAGTTAATTTTATTTGGCCTTTGAGAACAATTTATATTGTGTTGAGTTATATGCTTAACTTAATTACTCTATTGTATAATTAAACAAAATATATGTTCTTATAGCTTTCAATTAAAAATTAGAAAGCTCTAGAAATAATTTGTCTCAACAGGTACATAATAATATGGTTAAATGACACTATTATTGTTGCTATCTTTGTTTTTTAGAAATCCAAATTGACTTGCTTATTGGTACAGCTTGTCTGGTTTCTAGACCTAGCCTAAGTGTAATTACAGTACTGTATAGTGTCATCTTTCTCTTGTTTCATTCCTACCATAATCAACGAAGCAAAATGTCATACAGGCTTGCTAATAAATCTGGCCTACTGTAGGTCAAGTGTTATTTAAAGAACATGGTTGAACATAGCTCTTATGTAGAATATCCCCCATCGTAATTGTTAACCTTGGTACACCGTACATACACCTGTGTTCTGTGCTCAAGCTGTACTTAAAATTCTAACTATGTTTTGCACGAATGAGCATGAATTTCTTGTATTTGTGTCTGAAATATTTTGCATTCAAAAAGACAAGTAGTGTCCTAGATGCGACCTTCGACTGCCTAATTTTTTATTGTTAAGTACTGTTTAACAAATTATGTGAGAACTCAATGGTTGCTGTTATGTGGAGTGTATCGAAATAATTGTCAGTTAGCAATACAATTAATGCATTGTGCTGACACTTGTTTACAAGATGTTTAGTATCCTATCAGAAAACTCTGATGAGTGATATCATGATTGACTATTTTAACTTTATTTCTTCATCTTTTGTAATACTGTAGTAGATACCAATTATATTGAGATAACCAACCAAATTACAATAAACATCTTTACTTTTTAATAATTTTGAATGTCTTACTATTTAAATACAGTATAAGTTTATTTTGCACCATGCAAGAAAACCTCAAAACGGATGACAGCCAAATTGTATAAAAAAAAAACTTCATTAAATTCCTTGTCAAGTCAATATTATTCTGGCTTGGTAGGAGAGCATGTGCCGACATAAAGACAAAATTTTCCTTCCATAAAAAAATTTTTCCTCTATTTTAACCATGAATTTTTCCCTTTATCAATATCACAGGTGGACAAAGTGTGACCCAACAGTGATTATTTTGCGACCCGCGAAAATGAATTAAAAATCCTATTACTGCGGCCCACCAACGATCTTTGGCTAGAAAAGGCCGTGTTTTTTATGGAATGACACCAATTGCCTGTAAAAATTAACATTAAAACTGAGCAGAATATAAAAAGGTATAAAGGCATGCATGAAGGTTTTTGGAAGCGCACTGGAAACATAACATTTTGGGTGTGCCCCTCGGTGTTAAATCAAAAATTTACTTTGGCCCTCAAACCGATTTTTATGTCCACCCCTGGTCAATATGAACTGTTACATCACAACATTGTAATTAGGTCTGCAAATGATGCTATTGGTTATGAAAGTTGCGGAACTTGCCTGTAATGTGTGATGTGATGATGATGCTGAAAAATATTGATGATTAATTATGTTATGATGATATAGTAGTACAGTATATGATAATTGAGAACTACTGTACTCTTGATGAATAGTGATCAGATAATAGTGTCTTAATGTGATTACTAATGATGTCGTTAAAGAGTGTTATACTACAATGACATTTGTACATCATTCAATGGCAGATTCAAGGAACAGCTTGGCCCTAGCTTCTCTTACCCCTCCCCCTCCCACTTTTTTTTTAATGGAGAAAAATAGAAAAATATATTCAAATTTGAAAGTTCCCATAATCATAAAATTTACCCAATTTGTGAAAGTCATTTCCAGGGCCCCCTCTATTTCGAATTCCTGGATCTGCCACTGTCAATCATAATCAATCAAGCTAAGGGTAAAAAAGGGGTTTTCCTTTTCCAGGATGATGGTTTTATGGATGAATTAGCTAAAGAAAATGCTGCCAAGAATGCAATGATATCCAAAACTGGAGATAATACCTCACCTGTAACACCAAGAGAATTACAACAAAAGGTAAAATATACGTGAATTACTTAGAAAATATATAAGTACTAAAATTCAGATCAGGAAGCTTTTGATTGCAGGATGACGGTAGGACGTAGAACGTAATGACATCACACAAAGTCATCTGTGCATGCGAGAACTTTAAGTTCTCGTCACAGGTATTCTAGGACGCGATTTGCCAGATATACAATGTGCAGAGAATGTAGGACAATCACTCATGAGTTTATACGTTTTAGTGTCACATGCAAATCGAAAGCTCTCTATAATCTGAATAGTCAAGTGTCAGTTGCTCTCATCTCATTGGCTGAAGCCAGAGGCCCAGACTTTTAGAGGCCCTGGGAAATCTATCAATCTAGTATAATATATTTTTAAATAGTATATTAATCTATAAATATTGTATGAATAATCTATTATTATTTCTGTGGCATTTTAAAATTTATAAAATTTCTTTAAGAATTGTGAGAATTGAATTTAAATTGTTCAATTTTTATAGAAAGTCAAAAGAAATCTGATTGTGCTTATGCATATAAAATTATATAAATTTATATGTTTTTCGAAATGGACCACTTGAGTGTAAGAATTGTCATTTAACTTGTTATATCATCATTTGGAATAAATAATAAAAATCTAAAAAATTTATTATAACCTGGAGCCTAGTAGTAGTAGTACTGTAGTAGGTCATTAGAGTGATGGTAATATTGTGTTATACTCTGATGTCATTGATATCGCCAGGACATGTGTTGAGTTCGATCAATCAAGGGAGACAGTTGTTTTAAACCGTGTGACCTTTGATGTATAAAGGTCAATGAGGTCATGCCCTAAACACTATAAAGCAACATTAGTCCCATTTATATTTCATCAGTTTGACAAAAGTTATATAACTTAAATAGGATTTCCTTTAGGTGTTTTATCTTTTGAGATAATAAATGTTGAAATTATACCAATATTACATGTATACTGTACAAACTATGCTGAATTTAAGTACTTTTTGCAATCCAGTGTGGTGAAGCAAATATTCATGTTTTAAATTTGCAATTTGATAATCTGCTTAATGAGTAAAAAATGCTAATAAATACAGTGATTAATTAATTCAGTAACTTTTTTTATTTAAAATATAGTAAACCTGACTAATAGAATAGAGGTGTTTTGAACACCTTTCATTTGTCATTTGTACAACATCAAAACAATTTCTCCTCCTGAGAATGGCTTAAACATTGTATCTTTTTTGTAATCTAAACAGAAAAATACTGTAGAGGTAGCTGCATTCTGAATAAATGATTTGGTAGTATTGAGTAGCGTATCTAGGGGTTTTCAGGGGAGGTGATGCAGGCCCTCAAAAAACTTACACCCCTCCAGTCACCTCCCACCTCACTTGAAATAATGGAAGCAAAAAATTACGCTCAAGTAGTTAAAAATCACTAGCGCCTCCCCCTCACCTAATCATTTTGACTTCCAATTCATCTTCCCCTTCCTCTCTCCCCCCACCCACCCATTTCAAGACTCCTAGATAAACCACTGGAAGAAATTTCTTCATTTGTAATAAAAGATATGTGACAAAAAAATGTCTCCATTTGGATTCAAACACAAACCCATTCGGATGTCTACCACTGAGCTTCTGTATGAGGCTGGATACAATCATGTAGTATACATTTTCCAGGTATTGCATATAGAAAATTATTTAAACCAACAATCAAATATCAATTATTTTTAGATAAGCATCATGTCCCATCAAGATTTCAAACTTAAGACTTTTGAATTATCATTTGGATCTTCTATAAACAGTGTTATGAAGTACAGTAGGATACACATTTGCAAAATTTTTATTTCTCAAAGGCATTACGTGATATGCAATGAATAGTAGTAAATCACATTATAATACATATGTGAACCTTTGGTATGAGAAACACCTCCACTGGTGATAAAGCGGATAGATTTTTTTGAAAAATGTATGTCCCCATTAAGATTCGAACCCAATAACTTTCCTTTACTGTTCAGATATTCAAGCATTGAGCTATGAGGTCATATGGTGTATCCTCAAATTGTCCCATTGAGAAATTGAAATGAAAAAAGTACAGTCAACTAGACAATTATCCATAGGTTTATGTCCATGTTTACAGATTTGAATCATCATGGCTAAAGTTAGCTTTTCTTTCACTCCTATATCCTGTCTATATTTTCATTTACTTCCATATTTTCTTTGTTTACCTTTTCTTTTCCATTTTCCTTTCTTTTCTTTTCCCTTCTAATACATTTTCCTTTCTTGTTCCTTCTTTTTCTTTTCTTACTTTCATTTCCTTTTCATATTTCTTATTCTTTTTTTCTCTCTTTACCTTTACTATGACACATCCAACAGTACTGTACCATGTCAAGTGTAGTGATCCAATCTACAAAATGTTCAAACATGTAACATCAGTCATCGAATGCCTCCTAAATCACCCAATCATAATATATAGAATTGAGGATGTTGATATTTTTGATATGCAAAGGATAATGAATGCAAGCACACCTAAAATTATACGAACACGCTGGAATGCAACTTTAAGTGTGTCAAACATGTTTGACACAATTTTCACCTGTTACCGATAATTTACTTAGATGAAACTTTACTCTGTGATGTACTGTATGGAATTGCATGCTGTAATTTCAACACAGTATTCTTCAAGGTTTTTATACAGTACTATCTGTATTAAGAGAATATTATCTATATAGTTAAAACAAAATTTTATGTTTGAAATGCTAACACCATACCCAATCAAATAAGCATCCGGGTGCTTACACCCAGCACAGCAGTAATAATTCCTATGTTATTTTAATGACCAAATGATAATAAATGATGAATTAGTTAACAATGAAACAATGAATCAGAAAAGTGTTTTCTAAAATACAAATCCTACATTTTACCTCTTACATATTTATTGAATATTTAAGGTAGAAGTCTGCTTCTTTTTTTTTTATCTTCCCATATAGGCCTACAGTATAGGCTAAAACTTTTTAAAATCAAAATTACTCTTTTGGTAGGGTTTTTCAGCACATCAGTAATAATTTCCACAGTTACTGAAAATTATTATGTTGGAAATAAAGTTTAGAATTTCTACACAGTAGTAATATGTTTTGAATTAATAACAATGAAAAGAATGAATAAGAAAAATTTTACTTCTTTCATACAAATTTGTTGAATGTTTGAGGCAGAAGGCTGCTTTTTTCAATCTTCCCGTATATAGTAGTTCTATATTTTATTAAATCAAAATTACTCTGTTGGTAAAATCCTATAGGGTATATAAGCATAATCAGAATAGCAGTAATAATTTCTATGTTATTTTAATGACCAAATGATAATAAATGATGAATTAGTAACAATGAAAACAACAAATCAGAAAAGTTTCTACATTTTACCTCTTACATATTTATTGAATATTTAAGACAAAATACTATTTTTTTCAATCTTTCCATATAAGTTTTCTTAATCAAAAATTTATTGAATATTTAAGTCAGAATGCTACTTTTTACAATCTTCCCATTTATATAAAAGAAGTTTTCTTAAATTTGTTGAGTTTTTTAAACTGTAGGGTGTATAGCCTTAATTAGCAGAGCAGTAGTAATTTCTATGTTATTTTAATGACCAAATGATAATAAATAATGAATTATGAGTAACAATATAATATAAACAATGTATCATGAAAGTTGTTTTTCTAAATACAAATCCTAGATTGTCATGTCTAAGGAATGCTGCACCTTTGTTTATTAATGTACAGTAATTCCTTGAAATTATATCAACTCTTAAGACCCCCTGTAACCTTAACTCTTACTGAGTCACATTCTTATACCATAGTACACAGTACAAGGTAGTTGAATCACGGATACTAAGTACAATAGGATTTATGAGGGAATTATCTTATTGCATGATTGCTTAAGACAATATTGCTGGACAGTAAAGTCTGGTCCAGTAAGGATATTGATAAAACAAATTAGATGATCACGGTACTGCATTAACACCTATGTTCAAGATTCAAAATTCAATATATTTATTGTTCTTTGTTAAAATTACAACTGAATTCTACAAATTTAGAAATTAGAGACAAGTAGAGAAATTTACAAGAAGTAAATGTATCAATAAATTTCATAAACAAAAAGTATTATAGATAGGCCTACAGTATGCATAAACATATAGGAAACTGGAAAAATGATGCCAATAAATTATTTTGTTTACTTCTTTGTAAATAATTATATTCATAATATTAATAAAGCTTGTATTTGTTATTGATTACTAACCATGTTTTGGTCCATGCAAGGAATACAGGATAGTGCTGTACTTGTGCATTGTTTTTTGGCAAGAAAATATAATTTTAATTTTCAAAAAGTAAACTTAAACTCAAAGTTAAATATAAAAATTAAATTGGTTTTAACAAGCAGTATGTAAAGCTTTAAGATTATTTTATACCTTGCAAAAAGCAAACAAAAAGTGAGTGCATTTTTAGAGTGGGGTTGTACCCAAGCAACACAACTGAGTCAATCACTAAGAAATTGATTGACACTTTCTTGAGCATGCCATAACATCCTTGTGGGGTTTACAGAACACAACCATAAACAACTAAATATAGGCATTGCAACCCAATAAACAACATGAAAAACCACAAGAATTCTTTGAAAATTTAAACAAGCGAAAAATTCTATTATAAAATTAAGACACCAATCAGAGGTCAAAGTTTATCGAGTCAAGAAACAGGTGTTGAATAAGCATTTGAGATTCGAAAGGTATTTTGTGTTTAGTTTATAGAACCCAACCATAAAATGCTAAATACAGGCATGATACCCCTATAAACAACATGAAAAATCCACAAGAAATGTTAAAATCTAAACAAGGGAAAAATTTCAATCACAAAAAATTAGGATACCAAACACAGGTCAAAGTTTATTGAGTCAAGAAACAGGTGTTGAATAAGTGCATTTCAGATTCTTAAGATATTTTTGATAATTTATTAATTCTTTGTCTGACTCACTGGGTGAGATTT